AAAAAAAAAAAAAAAAAGAAAAAAAAGGGCGTAAAAGACTGCACGAGCGGCAAGCCAAGAGAAAAAGTTTTTAAATAAGAGGAACATTACTAGGCAAACAGAATCGGGCCTGATGACCACGACCTGAATAATACAAACATGTAAAAAGAAACTTGTCAGCTGTTACATAATCTGTGTACAGCTATACAATATTAAGCAGTACAAAAATCAAACATATCTAACCTTTAATTTTGATGGGCTATTAATCTTCTTCATCAGAACTTCTACTAGGATCTACATCTTTTTCCTGTACAGTTGTACCCTCTATATCTTTCCTAATCCACGAACGACTATTATGTGAATTAGCAAAAAGGTCCTCAAGAGTACTAACATGATAAGGTTCACATTCTACATCATTCCATTCTTCTCCCATCTCAAAATCATCTCTTGGCTTCATCTTCAATGCAACTGACCATCCTGGGTTGTTATAGTCATCATCGACATAGAACACCTGGTCAACTTGATCGGCAGATAGAAAAGGCTCATGTTCAATCCTATCACCCTTGTGAATTTGCTGTGAGAAATTCACAAGTGTACATCCAAATTTATTTGTTTTCACTCCCTTTCCTCGAGTGACATCAACCCATTCACATTTAAACAACACCACTGAGAATCTTCCATAATAGTCCAACTCAACTATATTAAGTATCCTGCCATAGTAGGTAATATCTCCAAGGATAGGGTTAGTATCTCCTGTAGAAGAATAACTTGATGTTTTTGCAGTCACAACAACCCCACTATTTTGCGTCGTCTTGTCATAACTTTTGGCTCTAAATCTGAAACCCCGGATGCTAAAGGCTCTGTGTCTTCTTGCTGCATCCAATGGGCCGCGAGCCAGCCATCTAATGTCCTCATCGATGCTACCACTACCATGTTTTTGCTCCAACTGCATGATCTGTAACATCACAAAATATACTTCGGTCAATTTATCCTCTTTTTTGAAGATAAAATAAACCATGATACCTACATGTTCTCTGAACCAGTTCGGAAACTCTTTATTCTGTATATTCTCAATTTGTTTCAATGATAGACGACGTTGACGATTTCTTCTTTTGAGATCAGCAACATGCTCTCTAAAAGAAATTAACACGGATTCAGTTTTAAAGGAACATATGTAAAATACGCTGATAGATGTCAGTAACACTTACTTCAAGTACGGAATGACAGCTTTACAATTGTATAGTACATATCTATGTGCTTGCAGTTTCTCTAGATCAGTTAAAATAAAACTGGATGGTCTTCCCAATGGTTTTCCTACAGGAGGAAACAAAGAGGAAACTTCTCCAAGTAAGTCAGATTCTTGATGATCCTGGTTCTCCTCATTCCTTGATGGTTTGTTGTGCTTTGTGGAGAAACCTTCTAAGTACCTAGAACAAAACACCATACACTCATCTGCCAAAAATGTATTCGCTATTGAAGCCTCTGGATGAGCTTTATTGCGAACATATGATTTCAATTTGCATAGGTACCTGTAACATATGGAAAAGCATCAAATTTAGTATCTTATATATAATAAATAACCCAGACAATGAAATGGTATTAGTAAGAATTAGTACCTTTCGATGAAGTACATCCATCGATAACAAACTGGTCCACCCAACTTACATTCAGTTGCTAAATGTACTGCTAAGTGAACCATAACAGTAAAAAATCCAGGAGGAAATATCATCTCCATTTTGCATAGTGTAACTTTAATTGATTGTTCCAAGCGGTCAAGGTCATCTAAACGGAGCACTTTTGAACATATTCCTCTAAAATAAGTAGACAAATCAAACATTACTGATGTGATATCATCTGGAATAATGCCCCTTAGAGCAATAGGCATGAGCTGTTGAAGTAGAACATGGCAGTCATGTGTTTTGAGACCAATAAGTTTTCCTTCAGCACAATTTACAGATTTCGATATGTTTGCAGAGTAGCCATCAGGAACTTTTATGCCTTGAAGCACTTTACAAAATGCCTGTCTCTCACTTTTAGACATAGCAAACCTTGCAGGTGGCAAATAGAACTTGCATGAAGGTTTTTCTTGTGGGTGGAGCTCCTCCCTAATGTTCATCTCTTTGAGGTCTTTACGAGCTTGTAAATTATCTTTTGACTTTCCATCTAAACCAGATAGTGTACCATAACAATTTTCAAACTAATTCTTCTCTATATGCATCACGTCAAGATTATATCGAAGAATATTAGCATCCCAGTAAGGCAATGTGAAAAGACTACTTAGTGACTTGTAAGTTTTTGAGTCCTTGAAATTACCTAATGCAGTGATTTCATCCAAAATTGGACGGTCATAATAAGTTTGTGGCTCTTCTTGAAGCTCCATTGTTCCATCAAAAGAATCCTTGTCCAAACTAAAAGGATGCTCAAGAGGAAGAAATCGACGATGACCCAAAAAACAAGTTTTATTACCATGCTTCAAACGTTTGTACCATACATTTTCACCACAAGGTAGACATGCAAAATTTCCATGAACCATATGAGAAGCAAGCATTCCCAAGCCAGGTAGGTCACTAATGGTCATTAGCACTGCTGCTCTCAAATCAAAAGTTTCATTTCTTGATGCATCATATGTTGCCATACCATTTACAAATAAATCTTTTAGATCCTCCAAAAGTGGTTTAAGGTACACATGAAGTTTATCCCCAGGACTTTTAGAACCAGGAATTATTAAAGACAACATTAGATAATGCTCTTTCATGCAAAACCACGGAGGTAAGTTATATATTACCAAAACAACTGGCCAACAACTATATCTAGAACTCAACATCCCATATGGATTAAATCCATCGGTGGCTAAGCCAAATCGGATATTCTGTGGATCTGATTTAATTAGTGGAAACTTTTCATCAAAGTCGGACCATGCACGGGAGTCAGCTGGATGTCGTAGCGCACCATCCTTGATGCGCTCTTCATCATGCCATCTTAGGAGAGGTGTTGTTTCTTTGCACATAAAGAGCCTTTTCAGCCTGTCTCTAACAGGAAAGTATCTTAACACTTTACAAGGCGTTGCTTTCCTTCTTTGCTTCTTTGTTAGTTTGGTCTCAGGCTCCATACCCTTCCACCTAGAAGCCTTGCACTTTGAGCAAAAATCATCATTTGCCTTGTATTTCCAAAATAGATCACAATCATTTGGGCACGCATGAATACTTTCATAGCCTAACCCAAATTTGGAAATAATTTTCTTAGCCTCATAAAATTTTTTGGGCAGTTCCTTTCCATTTGGAATAGCCTTCTGCAAAATATCAAGTAGATCACCTAATGATTTATCTGACCATTTGTTCATGGATTTTACATTGAACAAAAGCACAAGTAAAGTTAGTTGCGTTAAATCACATCCTTCCCATAAAGGCTTTTGTGAATCTTCAACAAGTTTATAGAACTCTTCTGCTTCTAAATTTGGCCCGCTAATAGGTGGATTCGGAAGATTTCCAGCATCTGTCATAGGTATGTTATCATACAAGTGATAAAATGCCTCACGAAGCATCTGATTCATGTTGCCATACCTTTCTTCATTCTTAAATTGAGGTTGTTGATCAATGGTGTGCTGCACTGAAGGGTCACCATGAACATCCCATCCTTGATGCACTGAAGGGTCACTATGAAAATCCCATTGCTCATAATTCTCAAGTATCCCATTGCAGACCAAATGTTCATATATTTCATTCCTGGATAAGAGACTAGTATGCACGCATTCATGACATGGACAATAAATCTTGGTATCTTGGGGCTTATTTTTGAATGCAAATTCAACAAATCCTTCTACACCAACTAAGTACCGAGAAGAACCTTTAGGATAGCCCAAAAGAACCTTGATGATCTTTAAATCCATTGTGAAACCATAAAAAGCTCTTGCTGTATAAATAGATAAATAGCATCTGTAAGTTCATATTTATTTGTCAACATTTAATTTGGATCCCTTTAGGTTACATTATCACAACTATTTTGCCTAAGGACAAATTATAAACTAGACAATTGTAACCAGCAGGAAAGAAGATGTCTAGCTTCTAGGGAAGAAGATTGCTATTTTCGTTCCAGTCAGATAATTAGCAAACTACTCCAGCTAGAGCAGAAAATGATTCTAGCAAATCATAAATTTAGCAAATCACACATGTAGTAAAAAAAGAATATCACTACAGACTGTGGTCCAGATACATCTATTTGATTTGAATGCTAAAAATCCCATATTTTTTCTGAAATATTCACATATTTGTTGCTACGTGCATTAATGAAAAATGCGTGAAATACGAAAAATGCTTGTAATCAACACAGATTCGAAAGTAAATAGCTCAGCATATAAAGTATCCAGTTTGTAAAGAAGATTCGGAATAATGAAAATCAACGCACAAACACAATGTCGGACTAAGATCCAATCTATTGTTTTGAAACAAATCCATACATGCAGAAAAGATTTATGAATACTAAGTGGCATCACAATCCTAATACAAACTAAAACAGGGCAGATCACGACACATACTCTGCATCCTTAATATCACCAAACCAAACGAATTTTGATATTCTCCTCATAGCTAATGCAATGACACCTTACATGTTTGACACAAATATGTCGGGCCTCCTACAGTGCAGAAATTTATCTCTCAAAAACTTATAACCAGCGTCTCATACGACTACATTGCCCAGAAATTTATTTTGCCTCAACATACACTCAAAACATAATATATCCAAAAACCTACCGAATTACTAAACATGTATTTTGAAGCTATTCCAGTTGAGATTTATCTTAATTCAGATACGAGTAATAAATCAGATAAAAAAGCTAATTTGAGCACAGAACAAAAGCATTAAACTAAATCTTTCAAACTGCAGAAAAAAAACTGAGATACTCTGGTCATGAGCGCATTCAAACAATCAACTAGTAGGTGCAAAACCAACACACAGCTGAAGTGAAACAGGACAAAACAGAGCAAGGACTAGAACTTGAAATGTCAAATGGGAATCCTACACTGGCATGGATCCAAAACACGAGTCTTACAGGATACGAAATCTTAAAGTTTAAGAATAGACATCATCTCTAAAAACACAGTTTTTCTAAGGAGTCCCATAGAAACTAGAAACACACTTATAATAAGATTTCTGAAAGAGAGAGAAAAAGATAAAAAAAAAATCAGCTGACATCTAGGGTGTTCTTCAGGCCTCTTCTAGAGATCATCCTTGCTAGTAACTTGGAAAATCTAGTCAATTGAGACCCGCGAGAAGCAATAACAAAGAGGCATGATAGAACTCCTAGAAAATTATGTAAAATAAATTTCTGGGCAATGATTTTCTGCACGCCCACGTGAAATGTATGACTCAATGAAAACTTATGAACTATTCTAATGCTTCCAATTTGGTAATGACAACAATAAACCTAAAGTACCCAAGATTACAGATTACCTAATAACATCAAACCCAGTGGTGAATGAATATTAACATTGTGGTATGCTGTGACTGAATATTAACAGTAATGCTTGATATCGATTTAATTAATTGAACGGGGTACTCACAACTAATCATTGAGGGTAAAAGTGCACGATATCAACAAAGAGATGGTGATTTGTTTAATCGGTTGTAGAATTCAAGACATACCCTAATGGCCTGCTGCTGGGTGCTCACAGTCGTTGTTTCGCCAATGGCTGCGTCCTCCGCTACTGCTTTTGTGGTGTCGCCCAGCTACACTTGCACGGAGCTACGAAGAACACGGAACCGGATGGGGCGATGCAGCACGGACAGGGAGGCGGCGGCGAGATTAGGTTGCGTACAGGATCTGTTGCTATCTTATTCCTTGCAGCAAATAAAAAATGCTATCTATTTGTAAATGTTGCTATCTTATTCCTTGCTATCTTATTAAATGTTGTTATCTTATTCCTTGCAACAAATAAATTATGTGTTGCTATCTATTTGTTGCAAAATGGGGGTTTCTCTTGTAGTGTTATGATATTTACTGGAACAAATGGATAATATTTACGGATATTTGAGAGTGCTAAATCCATTTATAAACTCGGACCTTTGTTCAGAAATATTGAATGGATTGTCTGATACTTTATAGAAATGATGCGTATGCTATACGACTCTAAAAACAGAGAGTTTGTCCTACAGAAGGAATGATACGCATGTGATACGATTCTGAATTGAAATATTGCGGGTCAGAATCTGCACTTAAAAGGCATTTATTGTCACCGAAAGATGATGTGATATGTTTTTGATAAATGGGTCACGATGAATTATTGTGATGTTTACTGATATAAATGATGATGGTTTGCGTGATTAACTGATTCTTTGTAATATGATATGCTTTGTTCTCGATTGGTGAAATTGTTACTAGCTAAATATTTGTGAATCGATATTTGATCACACTCAGTGTGAAAGGGGTATGATATATATGGGCCCACTACCCCTCCACGTGTGCTACTAGATATTATGGATCCACTAGATAGCCACATGTGTGTGAACCGTAACATGAAGTTACGAGATGATT